GACCCCCAAAATCTGATCAAAATAGTGTGTCTGGAGATACTTTTTGTTCACTCAAGTGATTATTATGCCACAAAGAAATACATCTGCTCAACCACAAAAGCTGGTCAGACAGCAGCAGAGAGAAATAAGGAAAGAAAGGGACGTGATAAATAACTGATGTACTCTTTGGTGTTTTGTTTTTAAACAGATAGAGTATAAAGCAGGCTTAATTATGCAATGGCTGCTTTGCTGTAAAATATTACCCATTTAATGTCTGTCTGAAAGGTGATTTATATACATTTTAATGTCATAACATGTAGCAAATATTCTCCACAGGGAAAGTGCCTTTAATATCAAGAACGTATCAGGTTCAATATGTTGAAACATGTTTCCGTTATGACTAAGGTTATACTCAAAGAATTCCAGACATAATTCTTTTGTACTGCTGAGGGATACAATTATACCCTTTGAACAGAATATATAATTAACCTTTATAAGAACATATTGATGGCATTGACATAATTTATATTTTTTGCCCTACGTAATTGATTACCGCAGACTCCGTTACGCGCAGGTTTATATTAAAATGTACATGGTTCAATTTTTCAGTTGTGATCAGTATACATTTCCCAGTTGCTGACTTGCATAAAAGTCTCAATGCAAGATGCAAAATGGGTTCTGAAAATAACACCCAAGTGAAAAAGCAAACCAAAAGGCACATTTTTTAGTTTAGTTAGAACTATGTGTTCTAACTAAACAAAAAAAATTGGTCACTTCAATCCATGAGTGTTTGTGGGACACTGCTGTGCGCAATTGGCTGCCATGTTTTGCCCATAAATATACAGTCAATTCACTTTACAGTATATTCTGTGAAGCGCTTTGAGACGTTTAGAAGACGTGAAAAGTCCTATATCAAATGCAAGGATTATTTATTTCTATTGTGGATTCTGATCCCTCAAAGTTTTAGGCATAGTCTGAGCAATTTAGCATAGGTAGGAGGAATTAGAGCAGATTTATTGAAACATTCACATGCAATATCAAATGTATCAAATGGAAGCCACTGATTTCTGTACCTTCCTCTCAATGTTACATGCTTTCTGTAACCTTCCCCAAATGGCATTGTAACACTCTCTGGTCTGTGCTGCTCAGTGTTTCGACAGTAGGAGGTGTGCAATTGTGAGTAACATGAATGCGAAGTGGCCTTTTTAATGACAGAATGTCCCACCCGGTTAAGTTACCCAAGATACAGTGAAACTTCAGTTATATTTGGCAGTTGAGTGGGAAGGGCGTTTCCCGCTCAAACTTCGGTTCAGTTAAATGTGGCAACATAAACGGAGTTTTGCTTCCCCAAGTAGAATGCTTCACAAATAGCAATGCAAACCTTTGAGTCATGTTTCACGAATGTAGGTGTGGATGAAAAAACCCAGTGAAACTGATGCAGAGCAGGTGAGTGTGGCAGTACGTATTCTTGTGCGTTAATGGGTAGGTCAGATATCTGATCTGTGGCATTTTTTGCAGGGGAGGAAAGGGAAACTATGCCATGTATCTATTGAGGAAAATTAAAAATTGTATTTGCAATGAACAATGGAAATCTACAGCACAAATGTTGGCTGGCCATTCTACCCAAAGTGTCCTTGGCCTTTGAAAGAGCAATCCATTCAGTCCCATTTACCCGCCTTTTTCCTATGCCCCTACATATTATTCCTTTTTAGACATTGATGTAGTCCCTTCTTGAAAGGTTATATGGATTCTGCCTCAACCACAACATCGGTGTAAGAAAAAACCATCCTATAATTTACCCCTTTGCTAATTATATTAAATTGATGCCTTACAATTTCTCTGTATTGACAATCAAAAGTCTTCATATTTGATTAGGATTTTTAAATTGAATTTAATCTCAATTACACGATAGTCAGTGAATTCCCCCATAATTTACTAGTTGGAAGGACCTAATACCCAACAGGTTCCCGTTTTGTATGACTACGTCACACATTATGTCACGTACAGAAACCAGTCAGTGGTCCCATCAAAACGCAAGAACCTCACCAAAAAAGCTTACAATTGATTTGTAATGAGGTATGTAGAAATCATAGAAGTGGGGAAATCAGATATACTGACTATCACATATCCCAGGGACTTACTCAAGTTTATCTGATTGCATGGTTTTATCAGTAATGCTGGAATTTTACAGTAATAAAACATTCAACAATCAAAAATCTTTCTGTTCCAGGAGTAAACTTTAGAATAAGTATTTATGAACAAAATAGGCGGTAAAGCATGTACGTTGTCCTATGTATTCTGAAACCTGGATTCAAATCCAACACATGTAATGAATGACAAGTATTGGTTTGGCCATCTCTAACAACTCACTATCAGAACCTAATACAACTAATAGATAGTTGTACAATATCTTCCACTTTTTAAATGGAGAAATATGGATGAAGGAGAAAGATCCATAATGTACACAAGGTAAAAGAGTGTAGGGGTAAGAGGTTAGTCGTAAAGACTAGATTACATCAAATTTGGATTTCATACACCTGCAGTTTGTGGAAAGAAGCAAAGATTGAAGGAAATAAGTTCTACTATTTTGAGGAAAAATGAGACGAACTGCCCGGTATTTCACTATAACTGATACTATACTCATGCAGCCATCATGCTGAAAAATTTAATTTTTTATTGTGATTTCATGTACAAGAAGCTTCTCAAATTCAAATCACGAAGACCCATTTTCGTATTAAATTGGCAGCTGCAATAACAACAAAAATAATAAAATAATAAAAATCCTTGCATTTGATATAGTGCTTTATCACGTCTTCGAGACGTCTCAAAAGCGCTTCACAGAATATACTGTAAAGTGAATTGACTGTATATTTTGTGGGCAAAACACGTCAGCCATTTGCACACAGCAGTGTCCGACAAACAGTTGTGGATTGAGTGACTAATTCATAAGAACATAAGAACATTAGAGTTAGGAGCAGGAGTAGGCCATTCGGCCCCTCTAGCCTGCCCCGCCATTCAATAAGATCATGGCTGATCTAATCTAATTCCACCTACCCACCTTATCCCCATATCTCTTAATCCCTTTATCCACAAGAAATCTATCAATCTCAGTCTTGAATATGTTCAAGGACTGAGCATCTACAGCCCTTTGGGGTAGAGAATTTCATAAATTCACTACCCTCTGAGTGAAGACGTTTTTCCTCAACTCAGTGCGAAAGGGCTTACCCCTAATTTTAAGACTGTGACCCCTGGTTATAGTTTCTCCAACCAGGGGAAAAAGTCTCCCACTATCTATTCTGTCGTGCCTCTTAATAATCTTATAGGTTTCTATAAGATCACCTCTCATTCTTTTATATTCTAGAGAATATAGGCCTAAATTGCTCAACCTATTCTCATAACTCATCCCCTCATCCCAGGTACCAACCTAGTGAATCTACATTGTACCCCCTCCAAGGCGAGTACATCCTTTCTTAAATAAGGAGACCAAAACTGCACACAATACTCTAGGTGCGGTCTCACCAGAGCCCTATACAGTTGCAATAAGACTTCCCTACTCTCATATTCTAACCCTTTTGTAACAAATGCCAACATACCGTTAGTCTTCCTAATTGCTTGCTGTACCTGCAAACTAACTTGTTGTGACTGGTGTACAAGGACACCCAAGTCCCTCTGAACGCTAACACTATCTAGTTTCTCCCCTTCTAAAAATTCATTACTTTTTTTTGGAAGGAATTATTACCCCCGACAAAGCGATCCGCCAATCAACTAACAAGTGGGTTCCTACTTACTGATAAGTAAACCGAGGAGTATGCAGTAAGGAAACATGCCCAACGTTTAGCCCTGCCCGGGAATCGAACCCAGATCCTCTCACTTGCGAGGCGAGTTCTCCAACCACTGAGCAACAGGACTCCACGAGTAGGTCCAAATAGTCTATGGAATGTACTAAAGGGCAAATCCAGAACCTTCCTGTGGCCTAAACATATTTCAACTAGTTCAGTAGACAGTAGTTAACTGTACAATTGTACTATGAAAATAACATTTCTGTACAATTAAAGTGGTGTGAGAAGAACTGAATAGACAACAATGTAGGCCTGACATTGATTAAAGGTACATTATGTACTGGATGTCAGGCTTTGTTTAGACCCACGCATTCATTGACATTCAGTCAAGGGATGGAAGCCTAGAGAAGAATGGCAATGATGAAAGAAACCCACTGGGAGGGAGAGTACGAATGAATCAGATATTAGTGGTGGTGCACGTTTCAAAGTAGTAGAACAAAATACATTCAGTAATTCATAAGTGTAATGCAATGAACATGCATGAAGGTTTCGATATCCTGTATGATTCAATGCTTCATTCTTTCAGTCTGTCAGCTAATCTTATCTCTTATGGTTGAATAACTGGTTTGTAATTTCTCACCCTTTCCCAACTATTGCTCTAATGTATACAGTATTGTATGTGAAACAAAACAATATTGGTTTGGTTACCTGATGGTAACTAATTTCACAGTCAGTTAGCTGTGACTCAAATCCCAAGGTTACTCAATACAGGTACTTGTACAATGTAATCTTGTTGTTGTATTTGAATAGCAGATCTGTGTCGTTTTACTTTCAGTTGAGTCAAGAGCAGATTATTTCAGGAAGAGAAACAAAATAAATCAAGACACCTTAATAATGAAAGGTCAGGTTGCATGATCACTGGGCCACACAATTACCACTGAATTAGGGTTGAATGTGGTCTAGACCTGCTAGGGAGAAACTCTTATGATGGGAGGAGGACAAGTTTCTGCACTGGCTGATAGCCAAATATCCTTTGAGGAGATTTTAAGCAGTTCTCAGTGGGGGTTTGAGAAGCCACATATACCAACTGAGCACAGGCAACACATTCCTGAGAATATATGACTTATTCAGACCTGGAAGAGTATGTGGTGTCAAGCACACACAGGAGAGATTAAAAACTCATCATAAAATCATCGTAGAAATCATAAATTATATATCAAAAGAAGCGACATACAAATATAATTGGTTAAAGGTCACATTTATTCTGAGATTAAGAGTCACTTGACTATAAATACAACATGGTTGAGTTTATTCTTAGCGAGACCAACAGCTGGGATAGTGCAGCTTATTTTGTTGACACCCTGGTCCTTTTGTTCCAAGAGTAGTTTGCACCATAGGACTTTACTTTCGGCTTTGGGACCCTCTTTTCCATTATTTCATAACTCCAATCTGTTGGGGGGGAGGGTAATAAATTAAAGCATTTTAATAAATGTGTAGTTTTTTAAAACACAATCCTATATATTCAACTTACATTTTGCACAGAAGCTTATACGATTTTTAATATATTCTTGACTAAAGCTAACATTTCTTGTTATAATTTGTTAAAATTTACTGCATCCTTTGCATTTTCGAAAGCTACGATTTTGCACACCGTAGCAGATTATGTAGAATAAGGGTATTATTTATAATTGCAGGAATATATTTTAAAAAACAAGAATTTGCATTAAAATACAAGGATATTAGATATCGTATGAATTTAACAATGATGCCTAACAACAACAATATTAATTTGCACTTATATAGTTTCTTTTGTGCAGAGAGAACACTTTAGGCATTTTACAAAGCCTGTGTGGAAAGCTGGAGGGAGATAGGAAGGCTGGGTTTTGAAAGCAGACGGTGGGGTGGAGCAGACAGGAATAGCTAGGGGGAGTAGTCACTGGAGACCCCAGAGGTAGGGTGGGGTAAGGCTTGGAGGCATTTGATGGTAAAGTGGCGAAAGTTGAGTTTGGAGGTTGACAAGGGTTTGTGTTTGTGGAGGGGTAAAATAGTGGCGGAGATGGACAATGTTGCAGAGGTGGAGAAAATCTGCCTTGATCAGAGTCTAGATAAAAGGTTCAAAGCAGAATTGAGTATCGAACAAAACATTAACACACAAAATTAAATACAATTGGTCAATTTTGATTATTACTCCATATTTGAAACTTTGTTTTTACTATTTTTCAAAACGTCATATTTCCAAATAGCAATTACAAATATGCTATTTGGAAATATGATTGTTGAAATATGCTAAAAAATATTAGCGTAGCTGTTACCTCTACAGCTGCAACAAATCAGAATTCTGTAGCACTTAATAAATCGCAAGATGCAATTCCATAGCTATTTGTCCAGAAACGTATATAAAAAAATACCATTTTTCTCCACAAAGGCAACTGCATCCTCCTTGGTAGAAAAAGTCAAAACCATATTTGACAAAGGATCTGCCCTACAATTAAAACAAAAATTGACATGTTACAAAATGTTTTTAATGTTCAGGTTTGATTTGCTATAATTTGAAATAATTCACTCTATTACAACAACAAAATTACATTCGTAAAGCGCCTTTCACGGCAGGAGGGCATCCCAAGGCACTGGACGGACAGAGTTACGGACCTGAGCTGGGGGCGGGGAGTGTGGCCCTCATTTCCCAAGCTTCCCTTGGTCTATCACCATATTCCTCTGGCTGTTTCTCCTCCTTTGAGCACCTCACCCTCTACCATCCCTCCTCTCTCTCCCTCAAAGTTCTCCTTCTGGCTCCTTCCTCACTGATGTCTCCTCGCTCCTCTCATCCCTATCACTCTGCACTGAACAGCTCATTATGGGTGATTTCAACCTCCACCTTAACTCCCCTTGCACCACCTCCTCGAATTTCACTGCCCCCCTCTCCTCCCTAAACCTCACCATCCACATGAACTCACCCACCCATAACCGCGACCACTCCCTCAACCTCGTCATCACACATGGCCTTGCCATTTCCGACCTGTCTATCGTCATCTCCCTCTCCTCCCGTATCCCGCTCCCTATTCCAAGCCCTCCACCTGCCCCTGAAAAAAGCTTCCCCTTAAGTCCCTCACAAATGCCCTCTTTTTCTCTCCTTCTGGCCCTGCACCTGCAGCGATCCTGATGCAGGCATTAAACTGCTGAATGACCATCTCTCCACAACCTTTAATTCCCTGGCTCCCCTGAAATCCAGGGCTGGTTTCAAATCCACCTGCTCCCCTAGTGTAACAGTCATCTCTGCTCACTTAAAACCCAAACCCGGACGCTGAGCGCAGATGGCAGAAATCTGGTCTCACAATTCACTGCCATCTGTGGCTTGAGCACCTCCACACCTACCGCTTCTCCCTTTCATAGTCCAAAACTAATTTTTACTCCAAAGTCATCCTGGAGGCCAAACACAACCCAAAGACACTGTTTTCCATCGTCCATCATCTCTTTGGTGCACCCCCTCTAGCTCCCTCTATCCTCGTATCAAATGCCAAGAGTGAAGAGGTCCTAGATTGCTTTGCCTCAAAGATTGAAAACATCTGCTTGGCTGCATCGTCCTCCCCCTACTCCTCCCCCTATGTCCCCTTCCACCCCACCTAGACCATCCACACCGCCTTCTCCCTCAACCACAGCTCCTACCACTTCCCACTCCTTATACTCTTTTGCCCCCATTTCTCCCTCCTAATAATAAATAAATCCTTGCATTTGATCTAGCCCTTTTTATGTCTTCTAGACGTCTCAAAGCGTTTCACAGAATCTACTGTGAAGTGAATTGACTGTATATTTGTGGGCGAAATTCGGCAGCCAATTGCACACAGCAGTGTCCCATGAACAGTCCTGGTTTGAAGTGACTAATTTATTATTGTTTTTTATTCTTGAGGGATTATTATCAGGCGTGTGGAGCAAGGAGATTTGCCCAAGGTTTTATCCTACCAGGAATCAAACCCAGGTCTCTCGCTTGCGAGGCGAGCGCTCCAACCACTGAGTACAGGACTCCACAATCCTCCTCCCTCTCAACCACAATCACCAGGATGAAGTTCACCACCTTTCCCCACAGATGCTGCCTGACCTGCTGAGTGTTCTCAGTGACTTCTATTTTTGTTTCAGATTTCCATCATCTGCTGTATTTTGCATTTTGTTTATATTTAATTTACTGCCACTTCTCTTCTAGGAATGCCTACCTTGAAGAAGTTCTGCTCTTCTCTTCGACTTGACTTTCACTCTTCCCTTTACCATGCTCACCTTCTTTGCTATCTGTTTCTCTTCTTGTGTTTGATGCCTATTTTTTTTGCAATTTCCCCCTCCATTTGTTTTGCATTATTAACACCTCTGTTCCCCTGTTTTGTTGCAATCTTCCCCCTTTGTGTTGCATCATTAACACCTCTTTAACCCATTATCCCCTGTCCTTTACCCCATTTTCTCCCTTGTCGTCCTTGCCCTGCCTCCCCTCTCTCTGTTAGCCCTTAAAAGCCTCTCCCTCCCAACATGCCCCAGTTCTGATGAATGGTCGTGGACCCAAAACGTTGATTCACTTTCCTTTCTCCATAGATGCTGCCTGACCTGCTGAGTGTTCCCAGCGACTTCTGTATTTGTTTCATCACCTGCTGCCTCGATCCCCTCCCCACTCAGCTGCTGGTCACTCAACTCCCCTGCCTAACCCCTGTGCTGGCCGACACGGTCAACCATTCCATCTCCTCGGGCTCTGTTCCACTCCCCCTGAAAACCGCTATCATTACACCCCTACTCAAAAAAAAGCATCCACGATCCCTCTAATCTCTCAAACTACCAAAAGATGTTTGCGGATGATACACAAATCTACTTTGCCTCCTCCAGGTCCGCCGATGTTCTATCAGCTTGTCTGAGAGACATCAGGGCCTGGACAAGTGCAAACTATGAATATGACTCCCAGCTGCTCTTCCTCCCCCACATCCAGTCCCTAACCAGGACGGCCTTCATCCACCTCCACCACATTGCCCGCCTTCGACCGTACCTTACTCCAAATGCAGCTGAAACCCTCGTGCTTGCGTTTGTCACCTCCCGCCTGGATTACTCCAACGGACTCCTCGCCGGTCTCCCCAGCTCCACCATTCCAAAAATCCAGCTCATTCAGAACTCTGCTGCCCACATACTAACCCGGACCAAACTCCGTACCATCTCACCAGTTCTGGCCAGGCTCCACTCTATCCGAAACAGACTGACTTCAAGATCCTCACACTCATGTTCAAATCCATTCACTCCAATGCACCTCCCTACCTCTCCAACCTCATCACTCCCCAATCCACCACCTGGCACCTCTGCTCAACTGTCACCGGCCTCCTGCTCGTCCTTCGCACCCTCCGCTCTACCATTTGAGATCGTGCTTTCAGCTACTATGTCCCGAAACTCTGGAACACTCTCTCTCAATCCCTCCACCCTGCCTCCCCTCTCCCCTTTTTCACATCCCACCTGAAAACCTTCCTTTTTGACTGTGCCTACTGTCATCTCCCCCACCCGCCTGGGAGTCAGGCTCCTCCATTGTTAAGCGCTCTGAGATGCTACCCTGTGTGTAGGGCCCTATATAAGTGCAAGTTGTTGTTGTTGGTGGTGTAATTAGACAGTTGGACTGTAATATTGAGACAGGCCATTCAGACCAACAGTTTGTGCCAGCATTTTTACTTTGCATGAGCCTCCACCCATTTTAGTCCCCTCGCCCTAACACCCACCCCCTTTCTCCTCTCGTCCCCCATCTAATCTGACATAAATTAATCCAATAACCTTTTTTTGTTAAACATAGAAACAACCAGGTATCCATAAATTGAGAAATTAAATTCTGAAAGTATTGCTATTAAAGATATATGGAAGAATATATTTAACTTTTAATAAATAAAAGGGAATCTATCACCAATTAGATCTACATCACCAGATTTTTAAAAAAATCTACAGTAGATCGATCATTCTTTTCCATCTTTAACGATGCCTGTGGCACACATTGCTTTGCTGCCAAGTGGACAGATCTACGGTATGTCATCTACATTAAAGCTGTTCTGTAACTGGCCACTAGGAGGCTTATGCAAAAAGTCCTAAATAATTCACTTGCTGACTTTCCATTGATCCCAGTGGAGAAACTCCTCACATCTCTTCTGCTCACCACATGGCTCCCACGTAACTTGGTCAAAACCAGGAAATTGAATGGTTATGAAAATAGTATTGAAATAATATGCCAATACCTGTATATTGTACTGAACTCCATCTTGACTTAACTTCAAAATAGTTTTGCAACAAATTGTACTTTTTTATTGTTCTAAAAGTATTTGCACCAATCCCTAAAGGTCTATAAAAATATAGTTAAAACAACCTTAAAATCCAAAATACCAATACTACATAATTATAGGAATATGTACACCATAATTTTCCAAATAACATCTTTAAGTTGTCTGAAAAATATCCCAAAAGCATCAGCCATATTATTCAGGTGCAAGAAAGATGGTTTGAATGCAAGACCCTTCAAAAAGTGATATATCAAACTCTACACCAAAAGAAACAATGTTTCAAAAATATATACAAGAATACAGGGTGACCAAAAAGTTGTGATAGCATCACAAAGTCTGATAAGGGTAAGATGTCACGACGTTTTGGTCACCAACTACATTCTTTTGATCAATTATACTTTTGACTGGGATGTGCTTGGTATTTTTGGAAACAATTAACTTGTTCCAATGTTCTCATAAGTAACAGGTGCTGAAAACCTGTATATAGGAATGCGTAAGTGTGAGAAAATGTTGAATTGGTGGAAATTGTATTGTATGTTTGCCTGAAATACTTTTAATTTAGTTTGGAGTAAGGTGTATTGATTTTGGTGACATCTGTTTTCTGTAAATTAGGGACAAATGTTATTTTATTGATTTACAATGTTGAACGTGTTTATACACCAGTTACAAACATGCACGCACTATTTTATTAATGGCAGCTGATTTCTGAGAACGCATATTTAAAAAGTTTATTTGGACTTCATGTTTACTCATTTAAAAGTAATTATTTGTTAAAAATAAAACTCACGAGGATGCCCAACCCATAAGTGGGTTCTCCCAACGCTCCCTCGTGTCGAACTCGATTCTCCACTTTTTTGTGTTGTTCACACCAGACTGCATTGCATTTCGCGCTGGAACAAAAATGCGGACCCTTCGTGTTTTTATATGGTCTTCTGGAACTCCTGTCAATGGAGTGATGTCCTAGGTAGAAACAGAAATAAGGTATATTTAATATCCATTAATTCCTTACAATATTTTTTTCAGATTAGGCATTTGTCTTCAAGCACAGGGAGGATAACTCATTTAATAACCACTTTCAGAATATGGTTTGGAAACCTCAACACACCCTACGGTACAAATTCCACGCACTGGTATAAATCACTAGCTCACCATGTAAATCAGGCTCTAAAGTGCACAACATTTTGTTTAGAATAGTGTTCAAAATCTACTATTCAATGTGCACTTGCATTGACTTTCCAAAAGAAAACCTGGCTCAGTTGGTTGCATTTGTTCTTCTGTATCAAACTCCACTTTGGTTGACGATCTGGTGTATGTAGAACAGGAGGAATGTTGCAATGTCCAAGCCAATGTCCTTTGGATGAGATGGCATCCTCATCTGCCCGTTCAAGTGTACAATAAAGGCCTCAATGCACTACTTGAATAGAGATGGGAATGTCCTGGTTAACTTTTTGTTTGATAAATCTGTCATTTATCTAAAATGATCCACTTTCCACTTTATCCACTTTCGGAATATTTCCATGAGTTGACAAGATATACTTTCTGTTATTGCAGGAAGCCCCACTCAGTTTCTTTATAAAAGAAGAATTTGCTGTATAATAGACCTCATTGTTCTGAATGATTTGTAAAAGCTTTGAACAAGAAAAATCTCAAAGTTCAGAATGCCCAATAGTTGAAAGGTTGTTCAGCATGTGGAGATCACCAAAACAAATTGACAACTGAACCTTTGGTGATTATTAGTCTTTGATCCTCAATTGTTCTGCTCCAAAAACCATGGGTAAATATGCTTTAAGTAATATGGGCAACTTTTTTTATAATAATAATACTTGCATTTGATATAGCGCTTTTCACATTTTATCAACGTCTCAAAGCGCTTCACAGAATAGACTGTAAAGTGAATTGACCGTATATTTGTGGGCGAAATGCGGCTGCCAATTGCGCAGAGCAGTGTCCCACAAACATGAAAATGACCAATTTATTATTGTTTTGTTTTTTGGAGGGATTATTATTAGGTGTGTGGAGTAAGGAAACTTGTCCAAGGTTTCACCCTGCCTGGAATTGAACCCAGGTGTCTCACTTGCAAGGCAAGTGCTCTAACCACTGAGCTACAGGACTCCACTTTTTGCCCTATTCCTCCACCCATTTGAAAGTGACTATGACTAAATCAACTTAGGGCACCTCACCAACAATGGTAAGCTGGACCACATTGCCCTCAGTAGCAAATGCTACTCTTTTCCAGTTAACAGGGTGGGTGCACATGTCTAACTGGGAACCACTGCATCGACCCAGAACATCACTTCCAAATTACATGTCCTATTTGCAGCTAGGAACCTTATTGTGTGACGAATATGTGAGGATTATTCCACACGGCAGCTTTGCATAGATCTTCCAAAGCAATAGGCTTAAAGTTAACCCACATAGTTGCTTCAGCTCCTGTTGAATGGCCTTTAACCTTCCCAAGGGAAATCTCTCCCTGCCAGTTGGTAGCAGCAGGGGATACATTCCACTAACCACTTAGCCATTCTTCGTTCATTGACAAGCTGACCCAATGATTTGTTTTCATAGGATACAAATAATTGACTGGATTTCCTGGAACTTACTTCTCCCACTTAAAAAGGCTACTGTGCACAGCCATGGTCAGGGATCCATTTTTTCCAGAACTAGTAAAATTTTAGTAGATTTAATAGTTAGTAGTCCACCTGTTCAGCAATAAAATATTTTTTATACTGTCAAAACTATTTGATGTGCTATTATTGCACTATTACAATAGGCATCTTCCAGGATTTCTTCATTAAAAAATCCTGGCAACTTGGTTTTCTGTATGTATTCTAGTTTGGTTGCATGGAATGAACAATTCTACATTATAAATGTGAAAACACAGATAACATCCCTGTGTCAAAGATTTACAGTTGCAAACATCTTATGGTGCCTACTTGAAGTAAGCTGAATCATTTCATTATTCACAGTACCTCAATTCCTCCCTCTAATAATTCCTGCTGAAAAATATTTGTTTTTTTCCCAAGCATTTCACGATCCTTACCTTTCTCAACATTTTTCCCTTTCTTCCAAGTTTCTTTCATCTTTTTTCAATACTTTTGATTTCCTTATTCCTTTCTTCCCTCCATCTCTTGTACCATCCTATTTTCTTCTTGTTCTCAGGAGGACTGAATGAATGAAACTCTACCCCTTTTCATTTTATATAAAATAAAGACCTAAATTAAACAGAATACTCTTTTCCCATGGTAGATTCAATTTGCAGATGCAGAAAATTCAATGATTTAACTGAATTTATAGTAGAATTCAACTGTTGGATGTGAGCAACACTTCCAAAAAAATAATTCCCACACTTTGAGTTTTTGCAAATGCACAGCATCTTACACCCAGCACGGTACCATGAGAAATTATTTTTTGTTTCTGTAGAAGTCAGCACTGAATCTTTAGTAATAAAACTTTTCCAGCATTATGTTAGCTGGCTGGCAAAACACTGAATGCTAATCGCAGATTTACTTTAAATCTTGTACACAATTCAGCCTATGTTGTACACCAGTTGTGGGTGGCTGATAATCCTCGCCTAGATGGAACACCAATGCCAATTTATAGAAGAAACTCAGAATACAGTTTATCCTGATGTCAGATCAGGTTTAACTATCAGCAATTAATGTGTAGAGTTCACAGAATGTTCTAGCTGAAATCAAAGTTATTAGATTGATAGTCATACAGGTATGTATTTGCTTTCATACATTAGGTGGTATAATAATAGGGTGCAGGCAGACAACTGATACAAAGATAGGGAGTCTCCAAGCAGGTCTCAGTGAATGCTGGGAGTGTATAAATGTTTGAAGAAAATTAACTGGGGCAAAATGGGTGAAACACTAATTTCCTTTAGCCCATTCCTTTCTAAGTCAAGTAAGAGATTAATCTTACTTAATTTATTTAAGAGATCCAGGAGATGGCACGATGTGAAGAGCGATCAAAATGCAAACCAGGCATTTCCTTACTCAGTTGATAGTATACTCACCCCTGAGTCAGCCATTTGTGGCTTCAACACCCATCTCAGGACTTGGAACACAGTCTAAGGTGACACACTCCAGTGAAGTCCTGCAGGGGACTAGATTGTCTTTCAGATAGGACATTAAATTGAGGCCCTGTCTGCTTGTTCAGGTGGACATTAACAATCCCATGGGAGTTTCTTCTTGTATCCTGGCCAAAAATCCCACAGATTAGCTTTTAAAAAATAATCTTTCACTTTATGGCTGTTTCTGGGACACTCCTGTGCATAAATTGGCTGCCGTGCTTGTCCACAAATACACAGCCACTAACAATTCACAGTAAATTCTTGTGAAGAGCTTTGAGGCATCAAGAAAGACATAAGGCTCAATATCAATTGCAAGGATTATTATTTCTGTGAGGACATGTTAGCGTGGCAAAGGAAGTTGATTTGCAGCAGCTCCTGTGTTTGTTATTTACACAGGAGGTTAGCCTAGTCTCATCTTTTTGATGTGAGAGGTTAGACATTCTTAAGTCCATACTTGTATGCTTTGAACTGTACTGAATCCAGCAGCAAGAGATGAGCATTCTCTGTAGCCTATCAAAGAATGATTCATCAGCTGTAGGTTTTCTATAGGATCAATGTTGATGACATAAACATGTAGAACCAAGCTTCCTTGAGAATTCCCACCCTACCACCAAGTATTCCAAGATTGCCTTGGCTCAGAGCCAAGCATTTATTTGAAGAGAATGTAGCCCTTTTCAGCTAGCTTCATCATTTGACCTTCCATCATAGATCAAATGTGACGAAGCTAGAGGGGGACGCCACTAGTAAATGATGAAATTGAGAATTTCTCCTGAAAGGTCCCTTGCATATGTGATATGGTAAGATAATAGTATTAATCCTTGCATTTGATACAATGCCTTATCATGTCGTTGAGATATCTCAAAGCGCTTCACAGAATGTCCTGTGAAGTGAATTGACTGTATATTTTGTTGGCAAAATAATAATAATAATAATCCTTGCATTTGATATAGCGCTTTTCACGTCTTCTAGACGTCCCAAAGCGCTTCACAGAATATACTGCAAAGTGAATTGACTGTATATTCGTGGGCAAACGCGGCAGCCAATTGGGCACAACAGTGTCCCACAAACAGTCATGGACTGAAAATGACCAATTTATTATTGTTTTGTTTTTTGGAGGGATTATTATTAGGTGTGTGGAGTGAATGAATATCGATCTATTTACCTCTTGAACTGTAAGCTCATCTCTAGTAATTAACTGTATGTTCTACATAGGCAATTTCACAGGAGAGTATTTGTTCAAAAATAAGAAGAGGGATGAAAAAGAAAATCCATAAAATCATACAGCACAAAAATCAAGCAGGGGTGATCATTTTAGAAGATTGATTTTTTTTCAAACCTCTTGGAAAAGTTGCCCAAATCTCCTTGCATCTGGAACAGTAAAGTTTCAATCATACTTCAAGTGTGGAAACATGAGGGAAATCGGTTTATGTGGATACAGAGAAATTATGATTATCGTTTGATTTTCTAAAGTATTATGGGGTGGCACACATATTTTTTTCAATACTAAGAGCTAATACTATTACCAGAGACATTGAGACAACAATATAGCTGTCCATTATGTCAGACTTTAAAATGTACATTTTGAACAATCTCACTTCTAAAAGATGTTGTGCCAAATGAAAGATCTGACTCCTCTTCCCCTCCTTCCCTTTTATGGTGCTGAACTACTATTGCAATGGGGGAGGGATGTATATTGATGGTTTTCAGCTCCAGTCTATAGATATGCCACTGAGGCTCCTGGGGAGATAAAGTCCCTGTACCCATCTGTTTCCCAGATGCTCTCCTTAGTCAGTCTGGAATTATCCGAAATAAAAGATAAGGTTGGCAATGGATGTCCTAATATAATGTGTGCTGGGGGCACTGTCTGTGTATATACACTACTGTATGA